CAGGGGTAGGGGGCGGGGGTTGCAGAGGGCAGAGCGGCAGGGAGGGGTAGGGCATGGGGCTGGACAGGGGCGAGGGCGGAGAGTGTGTAGAAATTTTTTTTCGAAAGCAAATGGGAATCATTTTTCCCTTGTGAGATAAAATATTTTTCCTTAAAAATGATTTGCCACCACTTATATTACGAAACGGAAAATGTAGAAAATTTGAATTTAAAATTTCCGAGAAAAGATTTTCAACCAACCAAACACCCCCCCCCCCAAACTTCCCTTCCTTCTTACTTTCTAGTTTCTATAAACTTCCCTTCTTACTTTTTATGAAGCTTGAGGAAGTAGAAAAAACAACGCATCATAGTCTAACAGAAAGTCAGAAACACCTTCTCTGTTACAGGGGAAAGTTTGGGTACATCTTAGGCATACATCTTTACCCTCAGACCCCAACAGAGTTGGGATTATACTATCTTTGTTGTTGACAAGTTGTATTGATCTCACCCACAAAACAAGCAAAGAGGAAGGATATGAAAGTGGGACTACTAGTCAAGATTCCTACCTTCTCCTTTCAACTTCATTTGGGATGCCGATTGTAAATTTGCAAAGCGATGCAAGAAAAGAATTCAAAGGCTCAACTGCTCGGAGAACACCACAAGACTGCAACGGAAAAAAAAAGCAATACAATATTTTTATAGCTTGTATCATGCATAGTGGCACTTTTAAAAGAACATGTGCCCTTAACAGTTAAGGGAAAAAAGAGGGATCTTTTTAAACAATGAACTTAACAAACACAAGATGTGAAAGGGCGAAAGGTAAAAATAATACGGAGTATTATCAAACAAGAGAACCATTAAAATATAAAGTGGATGTCAAGTTCAAAAAGTTGTCACCTGTGTAAATGCTTGATAACCCTTCAATATTTCTAACACAATAGCTTCACCTTGAGACCTTCAAGGATCAATGGTAGATTACTCAAAACATTCACTAACAAATTTAATGCAATTGGCATGCTTGATTGTGCATGTATAGCTATGTATGCATACTTCGTCAAGATGAAGGACAGAGCATCAAGAATGGTCAGCCACATCGAATCTACCATAGAAGTACAAAGCATTGCCGTCTTTCCTGTGCATTTTGTTGGTGGACCAACCTCAAATCTCGGTGATTCAAGCTGTTAGCTCCAAGAAAAAGGAACACATGATACGCAGTTGCTTTTCTTATAAGATATTTGAATGGTTTAAACATAACATATCACTATATCAGTGGCGCTTTAAATCATATTTACCTCACCAAAATCTACTGCCTCATCAGTCAAAGTGGCCACAGCAAAAACAATTCCAAGCAGGCCTTCAATTGCCAATGTCACTGCATGGGCCTCACTAGCAACCAAGACAGCAGTATTGGATGCATCACTATCCAAGCTCCACTCAACTCCTGGAAATAGAAAAAAGTGAAGGAGTTTGCACAACCAAACTGTGTTATCTACTTTGATCATCAAGTAATAAAGAATTAAAAAGTTATTTCTTTCTTCCTTCTCTTATTTCTGATTGGCTCCGCCGTAGTTCCTACGTGCATGCATGAGTTTCTTTTCTTGAAACCCTAGGTCGGAGTTCTTACTCCATATATCTCGTACCCGTAACAATGATTAACTATCATTGGTACCGCTGCCAGGAATGCTTTGGACAACACCATCCTTGACAAGCTACCCTTCAAAGCATTTCAAAACTCCATCAACAACCTCGAAGCTCGGAACAAATATTTGTCCACCGCTGTTGCCTCCCAGGCTGCATATCAGGCAAACCTGGAACGGATGTTCAACTTTGCTCGTAGCATTCCCCAATCCCAATTGATGAATCTAAAAATTTGCAGCAACACGAAGCGATTTAAATACTCACAACCCACCAGAAACGTCAAGAAAACATGAAGACTTTGTACATTCGTTGGACTTCCTCGCAGTTGAAGTAGCAACTGCTAGCTGTACCAACTTTATCCATGGTTGTTCAACTGCCAACGCTGCAACCTCCCTCACTTGATCGTTGTCTTTCATGGTCCTTTCCTAGTGATACTTCTCAGCTTCAAGTTAGCCCAGAACTTCTACAAGTTTTCGATCTCCATCAAGAATACAAGGATCACACTCACTTTTTATTGGTGAAATGATCCAGCGTCATGTTCAAGATTACAAGCTTGAGACAAGCTTGATCTCCAAAAGGGGTGTAATGATACGATCAAAATTGTCTTAGAATTATTATTAGTAGTTATTATCATGATAAATATTAAGTATTAGATATAAATATTAGTAAGATTATTATCATTATTATTATTAGATTACTATTAATCTATTATTAGTAGTAGTAATTTCTGATTAAGTTTTAGTTGTAGTCTCCTACTAGTATTCAATTTCCTAATTTGTTCACCACTAATTATTGGTTAGTACTTATTTAGCAACTAGTTATTTGGTGAGATTCTATTATTAAAGTTTCCTCTTGTGTTTTAGAATGTACGCCTCTAGCCTATATAAGAAGGCAGTTACTCTGTATTATCTGTGTTATACCCGAGCCTAGCCCCATGAAACTCTCACTCACGCCTTACACTATCATAAGAACCAAAGGACTTATATTCAAATATTATGATCCATTTTAGTTGAATTCAAATGGTCCTTAAACCCGAAAGGCCAAAACAACCTCCGTTTGACCCGAGGGTTCTGTGGTCTACTCCCATTTCAGTCCAAACCATCCCAAAACATCCAAAAACACTTTATACTTCCCTTTTTATTCAAATAAAGTCTTCCCCCACTCATTTCAAAGCCCTTGGCTGAAAATGAGAGAAAATAAAAGCCAAAACCTTTGTTTGTTTCTTTTAAAGTCCTTTTACCCAAATAATGTCTTTCCTCTTTTTTTCCTACAACTAGGACTAAAATCCCTTCCATTTTATCCATAAATCAGGCCCCTTTTCAACTATTAACAAATAGAAATCACCTTTCTCACAATCAGGATAGAAGTCATAAAGTTGAATAGTGAAAATTTGTCCTTTTGTTGACTTATTTCACATCCTTGCACCCATGATCTTTCCTTGTCATTTCTTACCATATAGGGCCAAAATTCCTTACACAAAAATCAGGGAATATCTCCTCTTAAACCCCACAATTCCCCACCCTTGACCATAGATACTAAAGGCCGAATCCATCACACACAACAAGCCAAGGGACATTTCCATTACAGCCACTTAATGTTCCCTGTTGTTTTCTTCACACATGGCCGAATTTCCTCCTTCAAAACAGGCCAAGAAACATTTCAAAATATCTCTCATTAGTGGCCGAATAAACATCACAAAACCAGCCAAAGGAATCCATCATCTTAGTCATGAATTTAACTCATTTGGATGCTGATTTTGGAAAGGATTAAGAAGCTGCCTTGATTGTATTCTTTCTCCCTTATTATGTATATATAATTTCGGCCATAGGCCTTGTAAACCAGCACATGAATTAAATGAAAACTTTGTTTACTCTTTTGAGTATTCTCTTAAAATAGTGTGATGCTATTTTAGCCAAATTCCTAATTCTATATCTTAAGAGTGGTTCTCTTGAGTGTGAGTTTTAGGTTCTAGTTATTTGATTGAGTGTGTAATATCTTGATGAAATACTAGAGTTCAACCCCAAGTTAATCTAGAGGTGAATTTATCCTTTAGTATTAATTTGGCTCCAAATTAAGATAAGAGTGTGTTTATCTCTTATTCCTAATTTGGAATTTATCCCATCATTTCTAAATCCACCTTTCTCTCCTGATTTTCCACTCTTCTTCATAATGCTAAAAACCCAAAAAGAACTCCTGCCACATACCCATATTTCGTCCAGCCCATTTCCCCTTTCATTTCTCCACAAATCCTTCATAAAATACCAACTTGATAAGACCCCCGCTTCACCCCTAACAATCTGTTATGATAAATAATGAATTAAATAGTGTATTTCTTTCTCACAGACACTTGATCTCACACTCTCTCAGTCACTCACACACACAAACACACACCCACACTCACATATACTCCCACACACTCACTCACTCACTGCGACAGGCATGTGTTATGTGTGTGCCTGCAAAAAAGAAATGTGCCCACCTTTTATTGCATTTAATGACCACAATAAATGTTTCCTGCAATGAGCATAAGCATTTGATTACAATCCCTGTTACAACCTTACATTTTACAGTTTGTTGATTATGCCCAATCCAAAGTAAATTCTTGATATTGACAGCATTGGCTTTAAGTATTTTGATTTTGACAACAGTGGCTTTAAGTATCTTGAGAAACACGTGATGCATATAATCAATGTTGGTTGATTAAAAGTTAAATTGTCGTTAAATAACATGAATACTGTGTAACCGTAACATGCCTCTCTAACTCTAAGACATTAGACTACAAGTTATGGTCAAACAGGTTGAGTGTTAAAGCTAATACATAACTCATGCTTGAAGTGAAGTATGTCCACTCGTTAACATGAAATCAAGATTCTATTACCTTTAGACTTACTGGTAAACATTCCAGCAACAGCTTCAAGGCTCTCCTCGCATGTGTCTTGAAACTGCAATACTGATGCGTAGTTAAACAGTATTTATGTAAATTGCCATGACCCAAGGACCACAAGAAGACATACTCAAACAGTACATCGAACAGTGAAGTTTGCATAGCACATACGAAAAAGCGTATTCTTGTAAATTTTGAAAATGATGACATATGGACCTTTCATTTATGGACCCGAACACTACATATGGGCCTTTGTTTATTCTTATGAGTTCATGTTTTTCATATCTAATACAAATGAAACAATGACTGTTTCATAAATACAAGCTAATTTGGTTATCTATCCAGCAATATTCCCTGCAATTGAAAGAATATATTTTCTTCTATTAACGAAAAAACATACCACCAATCTCAAGGTGGTATCAACGAATAAGGATTCTTATTTCATCACTGCCAAAGCATAGATGCATCTCAGCACATTCAATCATTTATCCTTCCACCTTGCATGTGGAAGCATAGAGTGATGTAGCCTTAAAGGTTAAAGGCATTTCACTTAAGTATCACTTTTACAAATGATGCAATAAATCAATAATATTAGCATACGTAAATAACAAAATACACACACAGCTTACAAGTTACAACAAAGGGGGGAAAAGGAAAAATACAATGTGATGAAACTATTTTAATACTTGATATGACACAAACAAGCTTACGACAGATAAAACATCAAATGTGAATCTTGTTATCATATACCTGAATGCTTGAAACAACCCTAGCAAGTGATTCCACCATACTCGCAACCACATTTGTGTTTTTGGGATTCCTAGAAAAACAACAAGAGGCAATTAAAAACATATACTAGAAATTCCCTGCAAATTTAAAGGTTTCAAATTTGTGCCAAGAAACACCCAGGCAGATAAACATACATGTCAAAATTCTGAAAAAGTATTCGCAAAGTGTGTGCCTCAACACAAAAACCCTGCATGTTTCAAAGATTCAAATTACTAGATATTGGTTTGTACATGTGGAAGTCATTTTCATATCTGACAGTGAGCAAATTTTGGAATTACCCTCAGAATTTCAAGAACAAGAATGCGATGCCATAGTGGTAAGTCAAGATTGATAGCCCTCACTAACATGCTGAGAAACACCTGCATCAAAGACATTTCATGCCAGCTAATGAGTGCATAGATGCATGCAAGGTTGTTAAGATCGAGATTCTAGCTAGATAGAAGAGGGGATGGAAGATTGTAAATTGAGAATCATAACTCAGATTGCACAATTCTAGAGTAATACTCCCTCCGTCCAAGTTGAAATTTCTCGTTTTGACTTGGCACGGGTTTTAATGTAAAGTAAAAAATATGATGAGTTTCCACTTTTGCCCTTCCCCTAAGGGCTCAGGCCTTCATTGTCTAACACTCCAACCTGTCTAGTTTATCACGTCAAATCAATTCTATCTTCTCTTCAAAGTACAAATCAAAACCAGGAATCACCCCAAGCTAAAGAAAAACAAACTAAAACTCTCAATTTCATTCCGATATATATGAATAGTCTCACCCCAAGCTTAGGTCCATGTAAAAAAACCTAAATTGGTCCCGCCATTGAAGAAGAAGAGGAAGAAATGGGGGGAAATGTTTTCTGCCACCGTCTTGTAGCCAGCTCTTTTTTACCTTTGTTCCTTCGCCGCCGATCGGTATGAGAGATCTGAAACCACGGGTCTGACGACGATTAGAGAGGGAGGGTCAGGAGATCTTCCAAAAAAATAGGAAGAAAAAAAAGGAAAAAAAGAGTGGAGGGTCACTACGAAGAAGAAGAAAAAGTCATAGATTGGAGGAGAAAGAAAAGATGTTGCAAAGAAGATAAGAGAGGGGCTGAAGAAAGGGGGGAGAGGAGTCTAAGGGGGGTGGGGTGGAGGGCTGGCTTCAAACAATAAGAAAAAATAAAGTAAGGGTAAATTAGTCTTTTGGTGAAAATTTACTCGCCAAATAAAGAAATGAGAAGAATCAAGTGGGATGTCCCAAAAAGGAATATGAGAAGAAAGATATGGGATGGAGGCCCAATTTGACTAGACATATTTTTAATTAAAAAAAATTGGTGTGATTGAAAATAATGCAAAGAGAAGAGACATACTGTGAGTCACATAATTTTTTTAACATAGAAATATAATCATCTTTTTTGGAGTATAATGTAAACCCACAATGGAAAATGTTGAAATCACTGTATCCTAATGCCCAGTACAGTAACTACATCATAATTAAATTATGGGCAAATAAAAGAACTAAATTTACCGATCAAAATGAAAAAAATAGTTTGTGAAACAGATTAAGGCAATACGCTTCCCAATCCCACCCACAAAGAGATAACCTTTTCATTTTTCAATGGGTTGTAACTGGCAATTACTCATAATTCCAAAATTCAGCAGATGATAAGCAGCGACCCCTTCCTGTAATCTAACCCACTTCACATCTTCGAAGAACAAATCGAGCATGAATCGAACGATTATACGACCCAACTCAATGATCTTATGATATTCAAATCGTTCCAGATACCCTACTGCATAAAATCATCTGATCTTACAATCTAGATTGCACTTTTAACAACCTTGGATACAAGAAGCTCTCAGAAGCAACTTAATGCTTCTAA